GTCCAAAAAAAATACAGTTTTTCTTGAGAAACTAGAAGAAAAAATGTCCAACAAAAGGCAAAACTTACATATAGTCAACAGAGCTACTCCAACATGCAGCCACCCAGAGCAGAGCAGTTCCGGAAAGCAGAATTCTAAACTTTTGGAATGTTTACAATTTTCCAGCTGGTACCGATGGATCGAAGCATTTTCATCCAGCGGATAAAAAGAGTGTGTAGTAGGGATGCACCGATGGATCTGCATTTGATCCCAATCAGCCAATAGCGCCCCTATCGGTTTTGATCGGAGTTTTCAAAATAGATCAAAGCAGACCGATCAGGTAGGGTTGTCACGGTAACCGGTGTAGCGGTAAACCCCGGTAAAACAAGTTGACAATAATCGTCTTGTTTTAAAAAAAAACTATATCATCTCGGTGGGTTACCGTGGCTGCGGTGTAGGCGCGGTGACCCTTACCAGCCACCGTATCATCTGCTGAAGTTGCCGGCGGCACATGCGCGCTTTGTTGTTTACAACCAAAACTTTCTTGAAGCTAAAGCTGAAATAATGGCCAAAGGAGGAGACGGCAGCGCTCAGGACATTTTTTTATCCCTCAAAGAAGACAAAGTGGGAAGTACGGGCATCTTTTGGATATTTGAAGAACACCGAGGGACAGTTGATAGAAGACGGCTATCCTTTTTATAGCACGTGCAGAAAAAGTGTCTGTGAAAGGCAGCAACGCTTCAAATCTCATGACACATCTGCATGACCATCACCCACAACTCTACAGTCAACGCAAGGCAAGCTAACTTTAGCGTTTTAGCTAAAATGCGTGATCCGAGGATTTGGGTTGAGGGAGAATGCAACGAGTCGCTATATAAAGCAGCCGCAGCGCCGCTACCTGCATATAAACCGTGTCGCGGACACCCCCATGTTGAAATGACGCTATGCATTACGAGGCTCCCAGGGGCAGATAGAGTTGGTCTCTCTCCGAGAATAATTATGAATTTAACAACGATTACTGCCTGATGACATTTTCCCACATCTGCAAAGCTCACTGGAAGGACACAAACCGAGGACAATATTTTCCTGATATAGGGTTTATTACTCAAGTAAGGGTAAAAAAGTATCTGATTAGAAGGCTTCTTGAGTACTGAGTATCATCTGATCTAATATTTTTAAAATGATGACATCAAACAGACATAAAATAAGAAGTTATGGGCAAATATTGGTATTTTAAAGACTAAAGAGAAAAAATGTAAACAAATAAACAACATAATTACAAATAACACATTTTTGGCAAAATTTAGACACAAACTGAGGACAATATTTTCCTGATAGACAGGGTTTATTTAGTTGTCTGAAAATGTAACACGTTTAAAAAAAAACGCGATAATACCGAAAACCGTGATAATTTTGGTTACAATAACAGTGAGGTTAAATTTTCACAAAGTGACAACCCTAATACAGACCATTTTAGATTAGGTTACATTTCCTTTATTCCCAGATTATGTAGTTTGTAGCACTCATTATAATGTTGTAGAAAATTTCTGGCCAATCCACGTGATCGGTATCGGTGATCGGCATTCTTTGATATCGGTATCGGTGATTGGCAGCAAAAAACCTGATCGGTGCATCCCTAGTGTGTAGAGCAGCTTGTTCTTTATAAATCACAAACAAAATCATCTTTGTTTACAGGCAACATCAGAACATTCTGGTTCTGGCCCTGTTCGCCTTATAAAACCTGCTGTCACCTTCCCAAGTCAAATAAAAACATTCCACGTGAACGCCGATTGATTATTCATTAGGAGAACATTAAATTTAACCCAAGTACAGAAAGTGTATCTTTAAAATAGACGTGTTTCTTCTTGTGTAATCCCTTTAGAGACCTCTGACTCTCTGAAAGCCACTTGTCTCTTTTGTCTACCGCCAGCACCTCCAGATTCTTTTCCTCTGGGGCCTTTTGTGAGGAGGACACAATACAGGAAATGCTTTCTCTTTCTACACAAATGTGATGCAGTTCAGGTTTCTGACAGCAGCTGTGACCGGCACATCTGTCAGAGCAAGGAAGGATGACTCACAGCTCTTCCCCCATCAGCAATCTCACGTGGAACAGATGAGCCCACAAACACAACCATTGAGGATTATTTACCAGGTTAAACACAAACATTTAGTTTAATGACCGATTTATGATTTCTGACTTGTGACTCGTCATAAAATGAATTTGAAGTTTCAACGTGGCCTTTAAGCTTTAAAGTGGCCTGAATGTGTTAGACAAGAAAGTCAAAACTAATCAATCCCAGAGAACGATCTGTACTTCATAATCTTGGTGTTTTCCCCCCAAAAATCTGTCATCTCAGCAGGACCAACAGTGTATTTTACAAACTCATGAGCACAGCAGCTCCACTGAGGAAGTGCAGGCTCACGCTTGGCCCCAAACACAACCCTCTTCCTCCTCGTGTTGCAGGCCTGTGGCAGAGCCGAGGACGTGTGATACAAGAATGTCTGGATAAGTCACCCACATGACTTAATGCAAAACCAGAAGCAGCAGCAGCAGCGTCACGGTTTTAAACTCCTGCCATAAAAACGAAACTCGGAGGTTCGTTGCAGGAAGGAAGACCAGCTTCAGTCCTGTTTTAACCCTGAAGGCCCTCAGCTGACAGACCGACTCGGGATCATTTATGAGTTGTCCTCTAATAAACAGCTCTTTATAGTCTATTCTATTTATTAACTTATTGAAAAAATAAAATATAAAAAAAATCAATAAATCTATATATACATTAGAAAAAGATAAATGTTCATCAGCTGATTAGAAAACGTGAGAATTTAAGTGCCACACAATTTCCTAATGTGTGCACACAGAATTTAATCTAGATTAGAGATGCTGATGAGTGCTCAGAAAAGTGTTGGTCCAACTCCAAAGTAAAGACTGAAAGTCTGAATTAGAGATTAACCGATTCTGCCTTTAAGGGCCAATAACGATACCGATTATTTAATCATTTTTCTATTAAATATTTTCCAATCAACTGGAAAATCGTTATTCTGGAAGTAAAACCTTTACGGAAGATCGATTATTTGGCAGAAGTAACGCTTAGCTGCTGAGGACATGGACCAAAACATTTTTTTTTATTTCAGATTAGCATTTGGGCCAACTCTGATCATCAGATCTTTTTTCTTTTGGGTGTGTCTGTAATCTAACTACTTTGTCAGACTGACAGAATTTGGTTTTGTTTGCTGCCACAGAAACGCTGAGCAGCTGTTGACTGGCCAAAGTCCGACGGCTGCCAATGAAATGATCAACAAACCCCGGCGACAGGCAGAGGAAGTGTGCCCTCGCCGGTGCAGCGCCAGCCCCACCAGGAAGAAGACTGGAAATTGTTAATGAATCTGCTGAAATACCTTTAAAAGGTCTAACTGAGTTAGGTCAACAGCTCGTTGCACAAAGATACCTGCTTCACACGAGGAAATATTCAAAGAGAGGTTGAAACAAGCCAGACAGGTTCACAAAGGGATCCACACGTAAAAAACAAACAATAGAAACGTCCTGACCGGTTCCTCATGATCGTTTAACAAAATGCGGAGACCAAAACCAGACCAGAGGTCATCGGTGACAGAAAAACGGGAGGAGCTTCCGGAATTCTGTAAACAGTTGTGATGATTCTTTTATGTCAGAGTGTTGCTCATGTTTATTCTCAAAAACAGCTGATTGGTCATGTAATCGGCCCGTGGATGAGTCGCTCCATCGACATATCGTCGTTCCCTGCTCACCACCCAGCATGCTTTACTGTTTCTCTGCTTCAACACCTGATTTAAATAAACGGGTCGGCAGAGTTCTGCAGACATCAAGCCCACCAAATAAACAACATCGTAGAAATGAACCGATTCTGGCTTTGAAGGCCAATACCATGCTTTACTCTTGAACCACTCTGACCAGCTGATCTTTACATAATGTTTTTATGATTAACTAGAAAACTATAAATCTGGAAGAAACCGCATTTGCCTGCAGGATCTGTTATTAGTGTGATTTAGCCTTTAGTGATGATGTGTTCAAGGTCCAGGGGTAACGTCTGATCCCTTATTGCTGCTCGACAAGCGTCACCAGATTAAAAAAAATTAAAAAGTCAATTTCCGAGTTTGTCTGGTTAAACCAATCACGCTGAATCTCTGCTGATTTTTGGGTGCATGTCTGGTTTTGTCTGAAGAAACGAGAATGTCCCATCGACATTTAGAAAAAAGATGTTACACAATTCAAAATCAGTACAAATAAAATCTCAAAATGCTTCATGCTTTGGCTTTTAGGGACCAATTACGACTCCCTGCTGAGCTGTTATCTTGTTTCTTAGAGTCACTGATCAGTAAAAAACCTCACAGTTAATCATCAATTCACCTCCGACATGTGACTGTGGATCGGAGTAAGGCTGCATGAAACATGAGCGGTAACACAATCAGCTCTAATCGTAACCCTTCAGCGTGCACAGATGTTCCCTGCAGCCATGAAAACTAACTTTGATCACATCCAAACTCCTCCAACTATCAAACAGCGAGCTAGAAATGTCAGGGCTGCCGAGAACACCGGGGAGGGGAAGTTGGAGGCTTTCATTATTCAGCTGAATTACCAACAATTACAGATAACACCTCCATAGGCAGGGCTGTTGCGGTTGATTGCAGATTCAGACGCATCAGCTGAACTTTTAATAAAATTACACCATTTCTGTGTAATGTGGGTCAGAGCTGGTGTCATGGAGGGCCCCCAGCTGGTGGGACGGACGCCCCCCCCCCCCCCCCCCCCCCACCAGAGAATCACAAGACCCACAGAGCTGATTTGTATTAATTACTGGGCAGAAGTCCTGTGTGTGTGTGCGTGCGTGCGTGCGTGCCCCCAGAACTGTGACACTGTTCTTTTTAAACATGCGTGCGTAATCTCACTGCGCTTCCTGACAAGAAAAGACAAACAGCAGCACTGCCAGGAATGTGAAGCATCACACACGCACACGCGCGCGCGCGCAGGAGTTGAGGTAACTCACGGTGGCCGACGTTAGGCCGCTGTCTGTCAGCGTCAGGTGGTGCGGCTCCCATCTCCGCAGGAACTTGGAGGTGAGGATCTTGCTGAAGAAGGTGCGGGGGTGCTTGACCACGCACACCTGGATGTCCCCCTCGTGCAGCAGCTTGTAGCGCATCCCGCTGCTGCTGCAGTGGTGCAGGGTCCTCTTGCACGGCCCCGCGCCCACCTTGGTGTTGTTGTTCCCCTCTGACATCTCCCCCAGCAGAGGCTTGCTCTCCTCGCACTGATAGATCTGGTTGTTGTGCAGCTCGTTGGTTCCGCCGCCGCCGCTCGTGAAATCCATGTCGTCTCTGATCCAGCTCAAGCCTTCCAACAAGAATCCGACATGTAGGGAGGCATAAATAATAAAAACAGAGGCGGTGAGGTCGTCGGGACCGAGCTGGGGGAGGGAGCAGGGGGGTACCTACCAAACAGGCTCAACAACACGATCTCGGTTACTGTGGACAGGCGCAAAGCCGCCGCAGATCAGCGTCTCCGCGCAGCAACTCCAGATGTGCGAAAGCTTTTAAAGACTCTCTGCAAACAATCCACCATTTTCCTCCCCGTGAGCCGTCTCCGCGGTGCGCGTCTCGCCTTCTCCCCCCACCCCACCGACAGCGAGCTACTCAGTGTGTTAGGGCCATGGCCTGATCCGCTCCTTCCGTTCCGTCCGGATCCAAACGCAGTAATCCACAGCGGGGAGCGGGACCCGGGGGAGACCCAGCGGCGGCGCCTCGCTACAGTCCACTATAAGGTCCGGGGGCCATTACGGACGCACGGACACGGTTTGCGTTTATTTGCTCTTGCTCGCGTCTCGGTGAGAAGAGGAGCTGCGCTGCTCCGATTGGTCTCCGCTCGTTCATGTGATACCGGACTGACGTCAATGGGAGGCGAGCGGATGAGCTGTGTGTCTTTATGCTCGTGTCTGCCGAGGGCGCACGCGCACGCCCTGCTGTCATAAAACATTTTTTTTTTGTCTTTATTCGTTATTTTTATGTTTGATTTTTTTTCTATCAGTATTTTTGTCTATTTCTATTTCCAAAACTTCGTCCTTATTTATATATTCTTAAAATTTTATTCATGTTGAAATTTAGATTTAATCCTTTTATTGTGGTTGACTTGAGTCCTGTTGTTTATTTATACATAAGCTAATATTCACAATAAAACAGTTCATTTACTAGCCTGAGTGTTTGGTTTTATTCTTTATCTAATCTAATAATTTATCAAATTGTCAGTAAAACCGAGGCTAATCTGCACCTCATCAACCATCATGTGACTTTGGAGTCAATAACACTCAGGGACACCGTTGGACTCATCTGGGCCGAGCCGGTGCCACACCTTGATAGATTCATCCTGTTTTATTTTATAGACGTTTGCACTGAGAAGGCTGTGAAGAATAAAAACATCCCAGTCAGCCCTTCCAGACGTGAATCATGTTTCCTCACCAGAAACACAAATGGGTCCCAACAAGCCTCCCAGAGCAGCGATCCTTCTGGTTTTCCTCCCTGCAGCGTAAGAATTTTTACGGGAACTGGATAAATCATACTTTACACTATTTTACAATAATTACACGTCATGTTATTCAGATTCCAGTCAGATTTTTTTGACAAAGCAGTGAAACGTAATTTTTCATCTTAAAGACATTTTTAAAACCTCTGAACCAATATTGAGCCAATATCTTTGAATCTAATCCCACACACTGATGCATGGACTGTCCAGCGCAGGTGGAAAAGCATGACGACACTGTTTTGAAGCTGTTGAAAGTTGCAGCCCGAGGGAGTGAAGATGTTGCGAGGCCCTCCGCCCACCCGTCTCAGGGGTGTCGACTCGCAACAACAAGTTTCTCAGCATCACCTTTTCCACGCGCTCCCACGAGGGAAAAATCTTTTATCTCTCCATTTCCCAACCTGCTCTGCAGACGTGATGCAACACGCTGGGCGGCCTGCTGTTCGCGTCAGCAGACAAAGGCAAAACCAGGAAAGCTTTCATAAATCAGGCAATAGAGGAAATAAAAACACATCTCCTCCAATCCAAATTCATCCCTTTCACCATCTCCCTCTCTGTCCATCGGAGATTAGATCTGGGCTCTCTCGTAATCTACTTCAACTAAACAGCAATAAAACGGAACTCCTACTCACGGGCGCTGCTTCTGTTTTAGACTATTTTCCCCATCTCTCGATCAATACGGACAACTCCACAGTTCACCCAAAAAGTCTTGGTGCCATACTAGATGGTACACTTCCATTCCAGTCTCACGTTAACCATGTTACTCAGGCCGCATATTTCCATCTACGCCATATCAACAGCCTCCGTCCTTTTCTCACGCCTCATGCTCATAGTCTCATCACCTCTAGCATCGACTTCTGTAACTTCCATCTCTTTGGTCTCCCGACTAAATCCCTTCATAAACTCCAACTTCTCCAGAACTCTGCAGCATGCATCATTACTGGTGCCCCCCCTCAAGAAATCACATCACTCCTATCCCTTAAAAACTACATTGGTTGCCAATAGAAACCAGGATCATATACAAGATCCTAAGTTTAAATCTGTCCATAGCATGACCCCACCTTGTCTGTGTGATTTACTAACTATTACAACTACTTCCTGGTCTCTGAGATCCTCATCTGCACATCACCTTGTCCCACCTCGAGCTCTGGAACCATCGACATATACATATATGGACAATGGGTTTCCATAGGCTCCAATAACACATTTTTGAAGAAAAATGGGAGGTGGCCACCACCGCCATTTTGACCGTGTCACAGGTTCCGTCAAGCCCAGACAATCCCACAAAAGGGAAGAGAGGAGGAGCTGAGGGTGGGGCTGTAAGGCTGGGATCAACTGACGACACCCGGTCGAACTAGCTCCAAGCTAACCTGAAGCTAACCCAAAGCTAACGCGGAGGTGGGAGCTAAGCTAACGGAGGTAGCAACCTAGCTACAACCGGAGTTAACTGTGCACAACACCAGAGCTTCTGAGTCAGAGATACGCCGGGCTGACCGCTGGGTAAAACCGGGTGGAACACAGAGGTCTCCGAGACCTCCACAAGCCGGCAGCCGCTCAGCCGACAGAAGCCGCGATCAGACAGAGATGCGCCAAGCTGCGGGGAGGGTAAAACCGGGTGGATCACAGAGGTCTCCCGAGAGCTCCACAAGCCGATAGTGGGAACCCAGCTCCACCAACATGTTATATTTCAACCCATTTTCTAAAGTGCAGCATTATGTTAAATGCACTGGGGTTTACCCTATTACATTTAAATTTCATGGTTAAACAGTACATGTTAAAATCTAAGCTCAGCTCGGCAGTGACCTAAAATACATAAATTTAATTTTACTTACCAAAAAAATGAAGTGGAGACTCCTTGGACGCTCTATTAGTGCAATTAATGCCACAGCAAGTCATTTTGTCCAACAATTGCACAAATAATATCCAAAAAAGAATGCACAAACGCTACAACTAATGGTCTAAGTCGAGAGACTGAAAATGACGGAACAGTTTTCAAGCCAGACCGAGGCTCTACGGAGGCCTTTCCACGGAGCTAGCTCTGTGGTCACGTGGGTCTGATGCTCATTAATTATACAGAATTTTAGGCTTTTAATACACTTACACAGAAGAGTGAGAAAAAATTCACCCCCCTCAGAGTTGTCATGAGTGTAAACTAGATCATTTAAACCAAAAACATGTTTTGGTACCAGGCTGTAAACATGTTTATTTCTGCTGTGAAATTGGTATTTTTAACATGGGAGTCAATGAGGATTTGCTCGCTTCTGACACCAGCCCCTAGTGGATGAGGGTGGAACTGCAATTTATTTCACTTCCGGGTTGGACTCAATTTCTGTCCCGCATTGTGGGGGCTTGTCTGGAACACACTTCCCTCTGCACTTCACATTCCCTTTAGACTTAGACTTTAGAATGATTGAATTTTTGTGTATCTTATTTGTTCTAACAACATCTGTGTTGTTTTTAATGATTTTATCTCGGTTTTATTGCTGTAAAGTATCCTTGGGTCTGAGAAAGGTGCCATGAAATAAAATGTATTATTATTGTTATGATTCAGAATCAGAAGGTTTTATTGCCATATGTGCGAGAATCACATTAGGAAATCGCTGTGATAATTAGTGCAAAAAAAGGAAGTTAAAAATAAAAAATATGAATATAATCATGATAAAATAATAACATAAAGTGGCGATACTTAAAGAAACGGCTGCTATATGGAAGACAGCGACGGTAATAATCAGAGCGGACCAGTTCAGGCACAAACATGGGCTGCACGGTGACGCAGTGGTTAGCACTGTTGCCTCGCAGCACGAAGGTTGCAGGTTCGAAACCCAGCAGCAGCCTTTCTGCGTGGAGCTGCGTGTTCTCCCCATGCATGCGTGAGTTTCCTCCGGGTACTCCGGTTTCCCCCACAGATCACAACATGCCCTATAGGTTATAAATTGCAAGTCGCTTTGGATAAAAGCGTCTGCCAAACAAATAAACATAAACATAAACAAACACCACCGGGTCACGTGACTGAAACCAAGCGACTGGAGTGGGCAGCCCTAGGTCATTCATGAGTCGGACTGCAGAAGGGAAGAATCGGTTCTTGTGGCGAGGTTCTGGTCCGAATGGATCTGAGCCTCCTGCCAGATGGGAGCGAGTTAAAGAGACTGTGTCCATGGTGAGACGGGTCAGCTGTGATCCGACCTGCACGCCTCAATGTCCTGGAGGTGTACAGGTCCTGTATGGAGGAGGGTTAACAGCCAGTGACCTTCTCAGCAGAGCGTACAACACGCTGCAGCCTCTTCATATCCCTGATGGTAGCTCCAGCGTACCACACGGTGATTAAGGAGGCGAGGATGGACTCGATGATTGCGGTGTAGAACCGCCTCATCCACTGTTCTGATGGGTAGAATTTCTTCAGCTGCATCAGGAAGTTCATCCTCTGCTGGGCCTTTTTATGATGGAGATGATGGCGGGCTCCCACTGGAGGTCCTGGGTGATGGTGGTGCCCAGGAAGCGACATGAGTCCACCATGGTGATGGGAGTGTCAGACAGGGTTATGGGGATAGTTGTGTCACTTTACAGCAGAAGCTGAAGTGTTGATCAAGGCAGGATTGATCCACGCTTTCATGTTAGTGACACAAAATTCTGACGTAACGAATGAAATCCAGACTCAGAAGACCAGGAAAGGGATTTCCAGTCGCTTTTGGTCCAGTCCTGTGGGAATCGTAACCTCAGGTTCCTGTTCTTAGCTGACAGGAGAGACACCTGTTGTGGTCTTCTGCTGCTGGAGTCCACCTGGAGCTGCTGGTGTGGTTCTGCAGACCTTGGTAGGAACCAGACTGGCCAGTCTCAGCACACTTTTAACAAACTCATCCAGTTTTATTTTTGTCACCAATGGTCAAAACAATAAAAAAAATAAGGAAAGAAGTTTGGATGAGAAAACAGGATTCAGAGCAAATGTGATTAATGCTGGAATGAAACAAAAACAGCCGGGACTGTTTCATCACTTTGTTCATTTAATCTCTTTGACATAAACACACTCAGTAGCAACTTTTCCCAAAACTTCCTCAAAAACACAAACGGAAACACGGATGGCGCATCCAGCCGGTCACCACCCGACTCGGCGGCTCGAAACAGAAACCCAGAGACGTTCGTGTCTGTTTAGTCAACACTCCAGTTTGGGAATGCATTTACAGTAAACGACGGGATGAGTGGGAAAAAAAATTCACCTCTAATTATTTTCAAGATAAATCAACAAATTTGGTTTTAAAAAATACTAAAACTGGCCTTCCTTCAGGATTTGACCATACTGAGGGAATGCCTTTAAGTGGAGATGCTTTTATCTTGCAGCCTGAATAAAGTTCCACTTCATTACTGAAAAGTTAAACCTGCAGGAAGAAAAGCCTCCCGAGACGCCGCGCTGCACGTCCAAGCCCACCGGGAGACTCCTTTCTGCATCGCTTTCATCTCTTCTGCACCCATCACCAAAAACTTTGTAACACCTTTATTGAACCACGTGTTCTGCTCTGCAAACCCGTCTCCAGCCACCGGGAACAGACGAGCTCCAGGAGCTCCTGCAGGCTAGACTAACCCAACACCTGAACGGCTGACTTGAGTCTGAATCAACCAGGAAAGCAACAGCTAAGCTACTAATAACACTAAATGCAACAGTACACCTACACTGTTAGGATGTCAGCACTATTTGTAAAGAGGATGCACATTTATTCTCACATATCAGCAGTTTTATCAGTGATAAGCATCTGCAGGGGCTTTCCTGTTGGTTCGGTTTTTACACAAAAACTTCTGAAATAAGCCGTCAGCTGGTTACAAATACGCTAACAGCATGTTCTCTGTTGACTTTATGATATGTACTTAATCTGTTTGGTCATCTAGAAGGTCTGGATGTTTACTTTGCGGTGCCGACTTTTGTTTCTGGGAGGTTTAAAGGAGCCGAACAGAAACGTCGAGCTCAAACCTCAGGTGATCGTCAGGGCCAGTGAGTTTCCAGTTTGAGAAAAACTAAACTAGGATCTGAAGCGGGTCACAGTTTAGATATCATTCTTTTTCTGTTAACAACCTGGTGCTGATACAGACTTTTATGGATGACTTCATCCTGCCGCTGCAGATGGGGGCGACGCAATTCCTCCAAAGCGGGGACAATGTCCCGGCAGAACTCTACTTTCCTGTTTTAGTCAAAACTGCAAAGGAACTGCGACGTTTGTGCAAACGTGCTAATTTTAAAGGCACGGTTTAGCCCAAAGTGCTCCATTAATGTCCTGACTGGGTTGTAAGCTTGTGGCGTTGCTACTGAGAAGGCAGGTGGAAAACAACCGTCACAAAAGAGTTTCCAACACGTCTCAAAGTGTTTCTGCTTGAGCTGTGACGCCTTTTAAACACGTCAAACCTCTCATGTTAGTACCGAATCCTTACACACCTCTGAAATTGTCTCCGTTGTTGATTTGTAAAAACTTCAAGAAACAGAGACAACTTTGAGAGGATTTGGAGAATAAAACTGAATAAAAAGAGAATAAGCTGCAAACGTCAACATAATTAGGACTCATTGACAAACAGCTTGATGCAGGGCGTACCCATTCAGTCCACTTCCGGTCACCGGTTTTTGTTCCCAATCCAGTCAGATACTGGATTTAGTTTCTCCAACTCCTCTCTGAGTTGTCTCACATTACTTGCGTTTTCTGCTCCAGACGCCCACTACACAACCTGATTTTGAGGCTAAATCGGCAAAGATTTAGCAAAATAAAAAATAACTCAGCTGGTGAATGGAACTGGTCAATACGCTTCATGACTGGATAATTGGAAACTAAAAATTCTGCACAATAATTTAAAAATAAATCTTTGCAAATGCAAAAAAAAAAAAATCTGCTTAGATCTTAAAAAGTGACAAAAAACAGTAATTTTCTCTGCAGCACGAATCTGCACGTGAACTCGTCGACTATAAGCTGCACCACCAAGAGTTGTGAGTGACGCGTCGTAATCTCGTGATGAGAGCAGTGAGAAAATGTGTGTATTTTTGCAGTCAGTACCATCAATAATATTTAATTATGACAAATGAAACTGCATATTGTTCTAAAATTTTGCTGCATTTTTCTAGGTTTGTGAACTCGCCAGTGCTAAGATGCTAGCAACAGCGATTTTTGACTCCCGAATCAGAATTTTCTGGTTAATCTGGAATAAAAATAGCTTAATTTTCTACTTTAGGAATTATAGATTAATCAGATTCGGATCTAATCTGTATCAGCAGATCAGGGCTGCACGAAAATGTGAAATTAACTCTCAAATTGAAAATGGGTGCCTCTTCTCTGTTAATGAGACCTTGAAGATGAACAGAAATCTTCCAAATTCTGAAACTGAAATTAGTATTAGCCCTAAAATTCAGAATCGTGCATCTCTAATAAAAAAAGTCTTTATTGTGTTCAAAATGCCAGCGACTAAACAGTTGGGACACGCAACCATTACGCTAACGGACGCTCTGAGCACCAGCCCCCGCCCACTGAGGTTCTAGGGGACGGTTCCTAACTGTGTCACTTATAAAGATTTAAACCTAAACTCAAATTCATCTCTAAGAAATAATTTCAGGCAAAACTTGGATAATTATCTCTCAGCTTAAGTGTGGAACAGATGGGACTGGGACAGATGGGACCCCCCCAGCACGCCTTGGATGTTCCGGTTGTTAGAAACAAGGCTGCAGGCGTGAGGGAACGTGCAAAAAACAGAAGCTAATGTTGAATCTCTGATCCATCGTTAAAAATAAAATGTGAAAAACATCCTTTAAAACAACAGAACCATCGTTAGTTAGTTAGAAAATATTAAAAAACTCCTTAAACCTTGAGACTATGGGGAATGCGTCCCATCAAAGATCCACCAGAGGAGGATCCTCGACAATCTGTGAAGGTTAAGTACTTTAGTGTTTGTGCGCGACCTAACCCCAAACCTACAGCGAACATGGCGCCGGCACCAGGACCAGGACTCACACTCTGATCCGGAACATTCCCTGGCTCAGCTGGAGGCGGAACAGTCGACAGTTAGCGATGCGCAGGGCGGCGCAGGCGGTTTTGCAGAGGTCGCTGGTTAACATGTGCTTGGTGTGGTGCCACGTCCCCGTGCTGCGGCGAAACTCTCGGATGTAGTCGAAAGTGGTTCCTGAACACAGCAGAATAACGGGTCAACACCAGCACCTTCAGAAACTCCACCATACAGCGCGTCCTGAGCCCGGTACTGACCCGTGTCCAAATCTCCCACCACATAGATGCTGGCTCCGATGGGAACGGCGCCGTAGACGAAGGACGAGCTGGCCGGGCTGCAAAGGTTCTGGTCATCCAGGAACATCCACCTGCATCAGAACACACGGTAAAAAGAAGGCTTGGTTCTGGACGGCTGGTTCACAATAAACATGAAAGTCCAAGACGGGTTCCCGACACCCTCAATGATTCACTCAGGATATCTGTCACGGAACGTTTGAGAACATCATCAGAATTCCAGCGACGCGAGAGCAAGACGCTGAGATTCTCTAGAGGATTCAAAACTAACAAGATCTGTTCCGTCTCCAACTGGTCACCAACCGTCCGGCCCAGTCAGATACTGGAAGACCATCTGAAAAAACCCGGTGTGTGATTTGGGTCGGGTCTGGGAGCTCAACCAGGTTCCTTCAGAAGCTTTGGAGACAGAATTCCGACAGCCACCAGATTTACGGACCTTCTGATGTCGTTGTGGTAGAACTCCGACTTGCAGGTCATCATCTGTCTTTGTTCCGGATTTTCGCTCTCTTGGCTTCGGACTCCCCCAAACACGTAGAGCTCCTGACCGATGCCACACGCCACAGAACCGAACCTGAACCGAACCAGAAACCACCAGGAGAGTTATTTTATTTTATTTATTACCGCTAAAATCATTCAAATCATTTCTCATTTTCACTGTAGAGTAAACGTGATAACAAGATGTCATTTGTTGCTTTGTGTCGGATGAGAAAGGACTCAATTATACTTTTATTTAAAGTATAAAACTGAACTTGAAAAGAATAAAAGGCTAAAAACTGAAAAGAAACAGGAAGTGGGACGGACCAGAACTTGATGACCAACTCTTTAATGTGTTGAAATAAATGATGACGTGTTTTATTTTCGACAATGACTCAAAAAAACAAAACAAAACTGACAAGAGAGAGATAACTCAATCATTTATGAGAAGTCTCGTGAGTCAGAGGACTCCAAAGCACTTTACACTACAATCAATCAGCCGTTCACACACCGATGGTGACGGGGTTAGGACACACTGATGGTGACGGGGTTATTCACACACTGACGGTGACGGGGTTAAGACACACTGATGGTGATGGGGTTAGGACACACTGATGGTGACGGGGTTATTCACACACTGACGGTGACGGGGTTAAGACACACTGATGGTGATGGGGTTATTCACACACTGATGGTGACGGGGTTAGGACACACTGATGGTGACGGGGTTATTCACACACTGACGGTGACGGGGTTAGGACACACTGATGGTGATGGGGTTAGGACACACTGATGGTGACGGGGTTAGGACACACTGATGGTGACGGGGTTAGGACACACTGACGGTGACGGGGTTAGGACACACTGATGGTGACGGGGTAAGGACACACTGATGGTGACGGGGTTATTCACACACTGACGGTGACGGGGTTATTCACACACTGATGGTGACGGGGTTAGGACACACTGACGGTGACGGGGTTAGGACACACTGATGGTGACGGGGTTAGGACACACTGATGGTGACGGGGTTAGGACACACTGATGGTGACGGGGTTAGGACACACTGATGGTGACGGGGTTAGGACACACTGATGGTGACGGGGTTAGGACACACTGATGGTGATGGGGTTAGGACACACTGATGGTGACGGGGTTAGGACACACTGACGGTGACGGGGTTAGGACACACTGACGGTGACGGGGTTAGGACCCACCGATGGTGACGGGGTTAGGACACACCGATGGTGACGGGGTTAGGACACACCGATGGTGACGGGGTTAGGACACACCGATGGTGACGGGGTTAGGACACACCGATGGTGACGGGGTTAGGACACACCGATGGTGACGGGGTTAGGACACACTGATGGTGACGGGGTTAGGACACACTGATGGTGACGGGGTTAGGACACACTGACGGTGACGGGGTTAGGACACACTGACGGTGACGGGGTTAGGACACACTGATGGTGACGGGGTTAGGACACACTGATGGTGACGGGGTTAGGACACACTGACGGTGACGGGGTTAGGACACACTGACGGTGACGGGGTTAGGACACACTGATGGTGACGGGGTTAGGACACACTGACGGTGACGGGGTTAGGACACACTGACGGTGACGGGGTTAGGACACACTGATGGTGACGGGGTTAGGACACACTGACGGTGACGGGGTTATTCACACACTGATGGTGACGGGGTTAGGACACACTGACGGTGACGGGGTTAGGACACACTGATGGTGACGGGGTTAGGACACACTGATGGTGACGGGGTTAGGACACACTGACGGTGACGGGGTTAGGACACACTGACGGTGACGGGGTTAGGACACACTGACGGTGACGGGGTTAGGACACACTGACGGTGACGGGGTTAGGACACACTGACGGTGACGGGGTTAGGACACACTGACGGTGACGGGGTTAGGACACACCGACGGTGACGGGGTTAGGACACACCGACGGTGACGGGGTTAGGACACACCGACGGTGACGGGGTTAGGACACACTGACGGTGACGGGGTTAGGACACACTGACGGTGACGGGGTTAGGACACACTGACGGTGACGGGGTTAGGACACACTGACGGTGACGGGGTTAGGACACACTGACGGTGACGGGGTTAGGACACACTGACGGTGACGGGGTTAGGACACACCGACGGTGACGGGGTTAGGACACACTGATGGTGACGGGGATAGGACACACTGACGGTGACGGGGTTAGGACACACTGACGGTGACGGGGTTAGGACACACTGACGGTGACGGGGTTAGGACACACTGACGGTGACGGGGTTAGGACACACTGATGGTGACGGGGTTAGGACACACTGATGGTGACGGGGTTAGGACACACTGACGGTGACGGGGTTAGGACACACCGGACACACTGACGGTGATGGGGTTAGGACACACTGATGGTGACGGGGTTAGGACACACTGATGGTGACGGGGTTAGGACACACTGATGAACGTAAAAGAAGATTCAATTAAGGCTAAATTTTGTTTTGTTGCCTTTAAACTCGATTCAAGAACTGTTCTTAGTATTTTATTTATCCATTGACTGATTTTATTTAATTCTGGTTATTTATTTTGAGCAAAGAGCAAAGAGCAACATAATCTCTCTCCATCTCTCTAAAGCCACAAAGGAGGCAACAGGAAACGGCAGAATTAGGGGCGATGACGCACTTTACACTAACACCACAGTAGGAAGGAAGTTCTGTTCCAAAAACCGGTCCTTCATCCTCAGATGAACACATGAACACCTGCTGCACATTTTAAAAACGCTAACATCCTGGGATTTTTGTGCATGCAGGAATGTTTCCATGTCTGGAAATGTGGAGGAACTCATGTCAAAATGAAACTAAGTGATCAGCTCTGGGATTGTGACAGCAACCACACACTAGTGTTTCACTTCCTGTTGTGCATCACACGTCTCTACAGACATAAATGGTTGCATGCTGAACTGTGAGTCGTCTTCTTCTGTTACCTCCTCTCCTTCAGAGGGCACAGGCCCGTCCACTGTTGGGTTTTAGGGTCAAAGCATTCGACGGAGTCGAACAGCTTTCCGTAGGAGCCGCCACCGATGGCATAAATCTTCTTGTTCATGGAGGCGTAGCAGCCGACCTGAAGGAGGAAATGAACCGGTAATGCACATCTTACTGGGAAAAACCCGAAGTATGTCTGTTTCGTATTTCTGATTAGACATTAAAACAGACCAGATGAGACCAAGATCTGTTTAAGTTGTTGTATCTGAATCTTAAACAAATAAAAAATGTACTTTAAAGGGACTTTACGGAGTTTTGAATTTTTATGCTCGCGATTGCCCCCTCAGGCCAAAAGCGTAACGGCAGCTTCAATAGTAGGCTCGTGCACGAGGCGCGCATGCTGTACGTGCACACTCCTTAACGAAAATAAAAGCTGAGACAGTCCTGTGTGTGTGTGTGTGTGTGTGTGTGTGTGTGTGTGTGTGTGTGTGTGTGTGTGTGTGTGTGTGTGTGTGTCCCGGAGGACAGAGGACAGGAGAACGAGCAGCTAATTAATTAAATAATTTGGTTCTGTACCTTTCTCTTCAGCACAGCCGACAAAGGTTTAAGATGGGTCAGTCCTCCTGCATGCTCAGATCATTCCCTTCCCTTGCTTGAAAAATTGTTCCAAAATGAAAGTTGAACCCACATCTTTTTTATCTGTGAATTCAATGCCGTTCGGCGCGTCTCAAAAATTTGGGCATCTTACTGCAAAAAAATATACCATTAATGTAAAAAAGAAACTCTAAATAAACTGTGTTCACACCCAGAATCAAACCCAGGTCTTCTGCATGGGAGTCAGACATCTTACAAGGTGAGCTACACTCTAGTAACATTCATAGTATCTGTAACATTTATATCCTTGATGACAGCTGAAACAACGTCAAACCAAAGAACGGTTCCGAGCGAAAAAGGCTATTTTGTTGCTAATTTGCAGGAAATATCTAGAAGAAAGTTCTACAAAAAGTAGCTAAGGGTCCTCAGAAATGTAGCTAGCTTTGTCACTAGGCGTTAGGAACAGCGACAAAGTGGCACTGCCTCTCTCTCTGCTGCTAAAGCTACGGATAGCAAATGCTACGGGCGATGCCTGAGCGTGAACGCGCATGAAGCAGCCTGCTCGACCCGAGCATCTCTCTTTTTCTGTGATTTTACAGAAAAACAGGCAATCGCAGTAAAAATGCCAGGGCTCATTCTACAGGACCAGGGCATTGCAGGAGAACGTATGAAGAAGACATTTATTATTTCTATACATGTTTTGGCTGTCAAACTTCCATAATGTTCCTTTAAAATAATGTTTTGAATTTGGGTTTTAAGTTGGATATAGAATGATACACAGACTCAACGGCACCGATCCCTTTATGCATCCTGCTCCAGCTGCAGCTTTTAGCAGGCTGTCCATCCAGAGGACCACAGCTTTAACTTATTGTGACTGATCTTAGGGCCATCTTAACAATACAAGTTTCCTAGGAAACCGGAGACGGGTTCAAAGAATTTAGGTTTTCGTGTTTGTGTATAGAATAGGATGAGGGAAAAAAGCATTTCAAGTCACACTTGGCAGTTTTTCTTGCTTTTAGCACCCCCTAGTGTCCGTTATTAATTCTCTGTGGTCAAACTGAACTTTCTACTTCTCTCCTTGCTGCGCGCTGATCGTTTTAACTCCTTAATCTAACAGCTGAAACGTCTCCCAGCCTTCATTAGTCTTCAGGAGTGATTCATCACTAAATTAAACAAATCAGCTGTGTTCATGATCTAAAACATGCAGGAAACGTGCTGGAAGCAGCCTGCAGCTCCAGTTTTTTCGGAGTCCAACAGGAGGCAGCCCGCCACTCTGAAGTTGCAAGTGCGGTATTAAGGTCAAAGAGGGCGGTGGGGGTCTGAGTGACATTTCATTGGTAAATGTAAAATGGTAAAGGACCTGTATTTGATATAGCGCCTTCTAGAGTCCTGGAACCTACCAAGGCGCTTTACAACACAATCAGTCATTCACCCATTCACACACACATTCACACACTGGTGATGATGAGCTACGATGTAACCACAGCTGCCCTGGGGCGCAGTGACAGAGGCGAGGCTGCCGAGCACTGGCGCCACCGGTCCCTCCGACCACCACCAGCAGGCAACGTGGGTTAAGTGTCTTGCCCAAGGACACGACGACAGCGACAGACTGAGCGGGGCTCGAACCTGCAACCTTCCGATTACGGGGTGGGCACTTAACTCCTGTGCCACCGTCACCCAATAACCTTGTAAAGGGTCCTTTTAGCACCTACAAGAACTTCAGGTGTGTAAAAAAACTTTTAACCTCCTACAAACCCTCCGACACCTCTTCACCATCTCCACTTAAAGACTATAAGGAGACTTCACCTTCAGTTTGTCCCCAACAGTCCCGGTTCCGGTCGGACCCGATGGCTTTAGCCGTGAGTCCGGTTTGTGTTTTGGTTACCTTACGGATCATCGTCATGCTCGACTGCATCTTCCAGCAGCTGAAATGTGGATCGAAAACTTCCACGGTGGTCAGTGCCGTGTCTTCGTTCTCTCCTCCCAGGGCGTAGATCAGGCCGTCCAGCTCCACCACACCGAAGTTCTGTCGAGCCTGCGACACGACAAATTAAATCCTCAAACGGGAACAACATTCTGGGCTTGGGACGCGGTTCTGAGTGAAAGAGATTGCCCCGGGATCAGCTCACGTAAACAAAAATGTCACCAACACCAGAACATGAATCACAACATGTTATTGCACTGGTTGTGCAGCACCAGGCTAAAGGTCAAAGGTGACAGATCATCTGCTGCTGTGGACCTCTCTCCCCCTGAGCCTGAGCTCAGTGGACTCAGTGGTCTCCTTTAAACTCACCTGTTCAGGCTTTGGTGTGACCTTCATCATCACCCTCTCCTTGTTCTGCTCTCCCCAGGATTCACTGATTTCCCTCTTTCCTGTTCTCTTTCTCTCTCTTTCTTTGCATTTTTTAATCACAATTGTCTATTTTTGCTTATTTTAAACATATTTTTCATCATTTTCTAAAATCTTTCTTATGTTTTAATTTTTTTGATTTTGTGAAGCGCCTCGTGATTCTTATCTTGAGAGGCGCTATAGAAAAGATCATTTTCTTTCTTAATAATTATTGTTAATTATTAGTTATATAATAGAAATATTATTAACTATTTAAAAATGTGACAAAGTTTTAAAACATATTATAGAAAGATATTTTTACTATTTGTATTTATTATTATATTTTACAATATTATGCAATAAAATATTATAAATGCAGGTTTGGTTTCTGGACGAGTTTCTCTGTCAAATGTTGAAAACCTGAGACGGTGAGGTTCTGGGTGAACGGACCAGTTTCCCCTTTATGGATCAGAACCAACCGTCGGTGGCTGAAAGACCAGTTTGCTTTGACAGCCTGCTTCAGGGGTAACTGAGGAGAACTTAGGTCCAAATTTACATTTGCTTTGCGGCTAAACAGGCGGAGGAGGAGGAGGAGGAGGAGGAGGAGGTAGAAAGCAGAACTTGGACAAAGTCATGAAGGTTAAAGTGAAACTGGATGAAATTTCATTTTAGCAGGACACGAAAAATCCAGTTTTTAATAAAAAACCTGAGCAGGTGAGTGAGTCCGACCTGTGAGGAGACGTTTTAGTGACACCTAGTGGTCAAAAATAAAAACATTAAACCAAATCTTACCAGTTTTTTTCCTTTCGAGAAAAAGTGAATACGGTATGCTGTTTTGCGTTGCTGTTAAGGTAAATTTGAATTAGAGATTTCCGTGCATTTCCAAGTGCAGACTAAAAGAGTTTTCTGTATTTTCCTCTTGCATGTTTGCATATATGCATGCACTTACGTCATAAGCAGGAAGCATTTCAGTTCTACTTCAGGGTATCTGCAGGTTTAAGGGAGCCAAATTTAAGACTTTTTAAGACCCTTTTTAAGGCCACTTTGACCAAATTTAAGCTATAACTTCCAGCTATTGCCTGTAACCAGTGCTAAACACGTCGCAAACGTGGGATTAGCCATCCAGTTACCATTAAACTTGCCCTTCCCCGTGGCGCAAGCGCCCACTAGCTTAACCAGCTAATGTGCTCATCTAAAAATAGCCCCCTTTCACAACCAGCTGAATGTGTACGGTTCCGCTTACGCCAACATCGTAGAAATTCATGAAAACTTTATAGAAATAAAATAATCTTATTTATTGGGTCTTTGGTCATTTAAGACCTTTGGAAACTGCATTTAAGAATTATTTGTCATTTTTAAGGATTTTTAAGACCTTAAATTTGGAAAAGCAAATTTAAGACTCTTTAAGGACCCGCGGATACCCTGTACTTGTAACTGAAGTGGTGTACCTGCAGCATCGGCGGTACCGGGCTCCAGGAGTTGGAGTCTGGGTCGTATTTCTCTCCACTATCCAGGACCGTGTTGTTTTCATTGGTTCCTCCCAACACAAACAGAAACCCCTCTGAGAGACACAAGAAGATCCTGTTAATCACCGATCTGCTGCTTCTGGTTAACGGACATTCTGAAGGATTTCTGTGAACCGACCGGCAGCGACGACTCCGTGGCCGAGACGGGCGACGCTCATGGGCTGCAGCTCGATCCAGCCCTGCCTGTTTGTATCGTAGAGCGGACACATGCAGCGCATCGCAGCTGTCAGCTTCTTGGTTCTGTGAAGAATGAAACCATCAGACCAGCTGGAACACGGTGGCTTCCCTTCCTCTTGTGATCTGTTAAGGTGGACCAAAAGTTCTAAAGACTTAAAAACTATTTGTTTTGAGTTCTTCAGCTGAATCTGAGAAACCCCAAAGGTAACACAGACGGGCTTAAAACAGGGTTTTAACTTCCAGAGAGCTGAGGAAGATTTCAGAGCCAGGAGAAAATGGGTCGGCCTACCGTCGATCCTCTCCTCCAGCGACGACGATGCACTCGGAGTAACCTCTGGGTTTGAAGGCGGCGATCATGGCCTCGCCCTGCAGCGGCGCCTCCGTCAGGTTCTTCTGACAGAACTCTCGGATCACCTCCCTCATCAAAGGCTCTGCCGTGGACTGAAGATGTAGCACCAGAGGACAAATCAAACCTAAAACCGAGGTGAGTCTAACATCCTGACATTCCGTTCGGTTCACTCAAAGAAAAAGAACTGGACAATATTAGGAGTTGAAGAAAAACAACATTTGAAACATTTTTTTATTCCAGTTTCTGAGTCGATTTTAAAGTTTGAGCTGCTGGTTTTTACATCAGAAGAGTTTTGTGATCATGAGAAATCTAACAAAATGAAAAAATATATATATAAACTAAAATAATTGAGGAAAAAAAGCCCTGGTGACTGCTGACTGCACAGCCAGACTGCAGCTCTCACATACAAGCAGGAGTTTATTCCTGACTGGTATTTTATTTGTTTGTTGGCATGAGTAACATGCTCCAGACGTCACGTGACTCTCAGAGAGTAGACGCCATGTTGGCAGGCAATAAAGGTAAACAAAATGAACGGGATCGACTTGGATTTTACTTCGTCTGAGTTTACTTCACACTGTAAAACCGAAGAAATCGTTTTATATAGCCAGAAATTAAATAGACTAAACATCTCCGACCCTTACCGTGCCCCTGGGATACTTTTTAAAAACGCCAGAAGCTGTCGGAGCGGACTTCTTACCGGACCTGGCCGGGGAACGCCCTGGGATTCCCCTGGAGGAGCTGGGCCCAAGTGGCTGGGGAGAGGGAAGTCTGGGCCCCTCGACGCTACTGCCACCGTGACCCGACTCCAGATAAGCGGATGAAAATGGATGGATGGATGGACAAATAATTACATGTAACTTAAGTAGTTTAAATAGAGTGCTGTGCTGTTTGAATGTATAAACTGAACGCCAAGAGAAATCACTAGTCTGATATTTTTCCGTGAATAAAATAAAAATGTCAGGCAGGAGCGTCTCAGGATCTGTCTGAGATCTGACTCGGTGAGACAGATAATAGCAATCCAAAGTGCTTTTTATGTGTGATCTGACAATTGATCAACCATTGCTTAAAAATTAATTACAGCTTAGCCGGTTAATTGCTGTGATCATAAATCACGTAAACGGCAGCACGCAGAAACACGAGGCAACGTTTTACGTGACGTTTACTTGTTGCTATGAGTAATAAGACAGAAAAAGCCACGCCAAAATAAGTTTAGGAAGCCCACTAAGAATCGTAATAAAAGCATTTAAAATAAATACCGTACACAGTTGAGGAAACGTTGGTTTAAGTACCTGATATGAAGCGGTCGCTGCATAAGTGAAAACCTTTACTCTCGGGATCCCACAGCTTCATTTAAGCCCGGTCACTAGCTCGTTTAATTACAATGATCCAACGTTTGCGGCGCTCCGGATCTTAGGGAATCCTGTAGATGGCTCATTCCTTATGTCGTCCCCTAACCCTAACCCTATCATTAATGTAAAAAAGAAACTCTAAATGAACTCTGTTCACATCCAGAATCGAACACAGGACTTCTGCATGGGAGTCCGACATCTTACAAGGTGAGCTACACTCTAGTAACATTCACAGTATCTGTAACTTTTATATCCTTGATGACAGCTGAAACAACGTCAAACCAAAGAACGGTTCGGAGTGAAAATGGCTATTTTGTTGCTAATTTGCAGGAAATATCTAGAAGAAAGTTCTACAGAAAGTAGCTAAGGGTCCTCAGAAATGTAGCTAGCTTTGTCACTAGGCGTTAGGAACAGCGACAAAGTGGCACTGCCTCTCTCTCTGCTGCTAAAGCTACGGATAGCAAATGCTACGGGCGATGCCTGAGCGTGAACGCGCATGAAGCAGCCTGCTCGACCCGAGCACCTCTCTTTTTCTGTGATTTTACAGAAAAACAGGCAATCACAGTAAAAATGCCAGGGCTCATTCTACAGGACCAGGGCACTGCAGGAGAATGTATGAAGAAGACATTTATTATTTCTATACATGTTTTGGCTGTCAAACTTCCATAATGTCCCTTTAAATAACAAATTAAATTATTCTGGAAGGAAGAATCTTAAAATCTATAAATGGTCCTGAGAGATGGAAGTCTTTTCTGTTCCCAGAGCCTAAAACGTGCATTTCCAGTTACTCTACCTGCTCTCTCAGGTAACTCAGGTCCAAACCCTGCAGCCATACTGCTGACATCACCTCCTTCATGTGGACCTGATGTAGAAGAAGCTTTCATGAACCAAACACCAACAGTCATTACAAAACTACAAAAAATAGAAAAATCCTGTTGTTTGACCCAGTTTGTGTTTCCCTACGGTTTTTGTTTTGTTATAATCTCCGTTTCCGGCCTCCACATTGAGCCTTACCCACCCTGCGGTCGTCGGGGTCATGAGCGAACCATCGCACCACAGCCTCCAGTAGGTACTTCTCGTTCCCCACATTGAGCTTCTCCATGGCTAGCAGCTCACAGAGCCGATCATGGGGCAGCTCCCTGAACTCCTCAGTGAGAGCCACATCACGAAAGTGCGTCTGCAGAAACTCAGTGGCGACGTAGTGGACGTGATGGAGACAGTAACACAGGGAGAAGAGCCGGATGCCGATGCAGTTCTCTGCAGTTATGCAGCTCTCCAGGAACTGACAGCAGAGCAGCTTAAGGTCTGTCATGAGGAGCAGGTCTGACGCCTGCACCATGTCCTGGATGGTTTCTTCACTCAGGCTGATCTGTGGGAATAAGAGTCAAATATAAAATCTACATGTCATCCTGATCTGTAACTTTTTAATAAATAGTAAACAAAAGTAAATTCTTTAGGATTTAAGCAGCTGCTTTCTTTCGATGTGTCAAATCCTAAAATAGAGCTTTAACGGATTACAGTAAGAACAACGTGCCCAGACTCACTTCTCCGCTAAAGATGTAGTCCAGGATCTGCTTCATGATGACCATGGAGACTCCCTGCAGCTCGATCCTGTAAGTGGACCCATCTTCTTTGGGAGGATTGTAGTTCAGTTTAGTCCTAACACCAGAACATGGCAGAACATAAACGGTGGGATCCTTCCTGTGAGCAGCCACACCCAAATAGCAAATGCAAAGCCACACGTGTGCAGGTATGACTCACCTGACATATGGGCTGGCAGCAGCCAGGATGTTTTTCTGAACTGGAAGCTCTTCTCCATCGACAACCAGCAGAGCATCGTGAAAGCTTTGCTCCTGCCAGAAAGTACGAAGAACTCTGAGCAGCTTTTGGGAGTGCTGTGGATCCGAAACCCGCGAACCGGGTTCGCTGGACGTGGAGTTGGGCATGTCGTTAATCTGGACTGCCTACGCACTGTTTACTCCTGCAATCAGAGCACGACGAGCTATATTAGAAGAAATATTTATTACCTTTTTGCTTGTCAATTTAAACACTCCCGAAGAGTGTAAATTTTCACGACGATTCATCAAAGATACAATCTGTTGATCAACAAACGTTTATTAAACTGTAACTAGCTGAAAACTCTTAAACTGGCACATTTCTAAATGAGATTTGGCAAATCAAGCTAGGCTAGTAGCAAAATAGAACCTAAATGTAAACAAACGGCTAATGTGAAAAGACATCGTTTCAAACTCTACGTTGTGTGTTTTATTTTTAATACTTATTAAAAACGTCTTACCTTTAGGTTACTGAAAGCTTTGGGTGTTTCTGGCACAGGGAGTGCCGAACTCCACTCACAACACCATGAGAAAGGGTGGACATGTGTGGTGCTGCATTCAAGGCCATGGGACAAAACAAAACAAGTACGTAAACAGATGGAAAAAAATCATATATAAATTAATAAATAAATTTTCTATTTAAGATTAGAGCTAAGGTATTTAACACATATATGTTGTTGGTATGAGAAAGTTGCAAATATATGGAAATATGAAGTATCATCTTTTCACTCCGTGAAACAATTAAGTGTGCTAGGTTTGTCAAGGATACATGAACGTTTCAGAAATTAGGCGGAAATGATGCGTAATCGTCTAAAAGCGACACTTTTAAATAGAATTTTATTGAACAAAAAAAGTTGTACAAGTAAATCTAAAGCAACCCCTTTTAAGAAACTTTCAACGTTACTTTCAATATAAGTTATTCTATAAACAAAATGTTAATGCCTGTCATAACATACGCGTTCAATGTCCCCTGAATCTAGAAAAAAAATGGTTTAATAGGTTTAATGAGATTCTACCCAACGTTAGTAAAAGCTTTATGTAAACGTTTTGATTTTCTATATTTTCTAAACACATACATATATTTTAAAAATACAGAGCTCACAAGGAGTATACAATCAGATTTATTTTCTATATTTTCTTTCATTCTTGGCAAAGATCTAATCTGAAGCTAACGTTCGTGTCGTTAAAAGGGGAATTATTAAATGATGATGATGATGATGATGATGATGATGATGATGATGATGATGATTTGACACAGAGACGTTCACTTCTCCCAGGATGCGTTTACAATGTTGTAAAATATCTAATTGCAGAAGTTGAACCAAGGCTTTTTTTTCCAGAAAACCTCTGTTGAATTGGACCTGGTTTTTTGTTTGCTTCGTTCTTATTTAAATATATATCATTATGTACTTATTTTAGTACCTCTTTGTATTTATTTTAGTTTAGTTTGTTGTGGTGGAACAATTCAGCGCTGGGACTGTTTCCTGGCGGAAGTTAAAAGCCGCGTACACAGAAACTTTTGTTGTTCTCGTATATGATGTCTGTGGTTTTTCCTTCTCGGACTGCATTTTTGTTGTAAGCTAAACCCCCGAAAGTTCGAACATGTATCGGCTCCGACACAAGCCGATGCAACCGTGGATAGAAGGCCTGGTTCTGAACTACAGCGACCGGGAAGGCGAGGAGGCGGGAGCCCCGGACGGAGACCGAACACCGGGAAGGAAACGCTGGCTGAAGGCGTATGTCCTCGAGGTCAGTCATCTGCCTGAATCCAAGCTTCGGGCCTTCGAGGGCCCCAATGTTGTGCTCTTTCTGTCCGACGGGCAGGTGAAGATACCGGCCGTGCTTACCGCCTCCGCCTGGGCGCGGATCCAGGAGGAGGAGGGTCGGGAGAACTTAAACAACTTCCTAAACGCCACGGTGCACCTTCAGGTCGACCGGCTGCAGTTTGACGTGACTCCCGATAAGTTCACCTCCAGGTTCTACTTGGTGCTGAGCGGTCTGAGTACAGTAGAGGCCGGCCTGGTTAGACAGCACACGCCCTGCTACACCTCCCTGCCCTCCATCAGAATGAAGATCGATCAGACCTGGAGCGCCCGGCAGCGAGCTCAGGACTCCCAGAGGAGCCACGACGAACCCGACTTGTCCCAGCTGCTGTGGCAGGAAGAGTGGCTGCGGAGCAGCGTGAATGATGTCGTGGAGAGGATGACCACACACACGACTCCACAACCTTCCGCTTCTGCTTACCACTCATCTATAACCGGACCTGCCACCAGCTGGGACCAGGACCGGGTCAGGTACCAGGCAGAGACTCCTTTCACTGTCCCAGTGAGGTTTCTTCTCATCCCTCAGCATTTAGAGACGGGGACAGATGCTGGACTCAGGACGCACACAGGGACAGAGCTGGCAGCTCATAATGATGCAACCGGGCAGATTCCAGAACCGGCTGGTGTGGAATCGGTCCGTGATGCAGAAGAGAGCTCAGCTGTTCTGACAGAGGACGACTTCCCACAGGAGGAAGTAACTCGAAGGCCTACATCCAACCCCTGGGACATCTACCCTCCTCCGTGCATCAGCTCTGAATCTTCTCCAGAACCTACACCGACCCTCTCCGGTACCACATCTGGACCTGATTCTGCTACCATGGTAACCAGCTCACCTTATGTTCAGATCTCCCTCCCTCCCTACCAAAAACAGCAGAACAGCAGCATCCTGCCCACTAACTCAGCTGAGAAGCGTTTACCAGAACCTCCTGCCTCAGACACCACCCAGAACACCAGGACTCATCAGAACCTTCAAGCTTTGGACAGAGACTATCAGGACAGGGCTCAGGTCGACACCAGGAACCTGAAGAGGAAGCGACACGATGTCCCACTACAGAGGGTGGAGGAGGAAGAGTTCAGCCACAGCCCGCCATCTTGGCTCTTTGAGACCCAACCAGAACCCGCCAGAACCAAAGAGGGGAGTGGTCCAAAACAAAGAGCTGTGAGAACAACCTCCTCTGTTCACATCGATGGCAAAAGGTTCTCATACACCTACAGTGTTACCGGACAGAACCTGCAGGACTTCAGTCGGTTCAGAGTGGCTGCGTCTGTTCTGCACTGGGCTGTGAAGTACCTTTTAACTCCGAAACCAGCAGAACCTCCTCCAAACATCAGCTGATGGTACCACAGCGACGTTTCCTTTGGTTCAGAGACTCTTAAGCTTCTCTAGGTCAAGTGTGGATTTTTCATTCTACTGTCATCTGGGTCCAATTCAAACAGAAGCTAAAGTGTTCCGCTGGTGCTGTTTTATAAAACCCGATGCTGAAGTCAGGATTGATGAGGCCGGGTTCGGAGGCTTCGCAGGTTGTCTGGGTTTTTGTTAATGTTGAGAAAAAGACTCTAGAGCTTTCGTCTCTGTGTCACGCGGTTCTGTCGGGACGTCGTGTTTCTGTTTCAGAGTTCGGATGTGATGAAAACTGTTCATCTTTGTGGAAAAAGATGGAAATGGTTCCACCCCAATGCTTCTTTGGACTTTTGTTTAAAACAGTTTTAAAATATTATTTATTTTTTAAACGATTTTATTATTTTGTTCTATTTCAAACTAATAAATGAAGTAACTTGTTTTGTTTGAACAATATTTGCTTTTTTTTCTTTTCTGGAGTGTATAAAACACCTGATTTTACCACTTTGGAGGCAAAGAGATGGAACACACACACACACACACACACACAGTAGACCAGTTTTTAAAAAAAGGCATTTTGAGATTAACCTGATAACAATGTTTAATTGTTTTACTCTAATGTTTTATTTTTACAGGTGCTTAAATACATCTATTTGCATTTATCCATTTAAAATGAGAATAAAAAACTGCTTTAATTTGACAATATTGTTAAAATAAAGTAATGATAAATAAAACAACAAAGCTTCATGTAAACAGAAAAATGTTTAAAGATCCAGTTTATTCAGTTTTAACAATTAAAGCACAGATGTGATCTCATCATTATAATAATAATGTTTAATAGTAATATATTAGTAATGTTTTCTAATCTTTAGAGCGATGTAAAAGTGTGATTTATTTTATTTTTTGTGGTTAAAATGTTTCAGGTCAAATGTCATAAATTTAAGTTTCACCCAAAAAGAAGCAACAGCAGGAGAAATAAGAAGTTTTCCACTGAAGCTCACCAAGGAAACAGTGGTGCAGTTTCTTACTTGTCCAGCAGGTGTCGCCATGCCCCTCTACACAGAGTAAAAGCCTTTAAGGTGTTGTTCACTGAAAACCCGTTTTTAATGATTGTCTCTGATTCTAACGGGTCACTCCGACTGTTTCATGCAGGCTGAACATGAAAATAGTCTCCTACACCTAGCTTTAGCTTCTGATAGAAAACAGATGGTGATACTCTAGAATTAGAAAATCCTGACAGATCTACGTCACACTGTCACTTATGGACTCACCCATCTGACTCAAGACGGGTTGGTTTAGCGTCCAGGAAACAGTAGAGAACATCTAAGCTAGTAGAAGCTAACCGTTAGCATTAGCAACTCCACCACGTAGCAGACCGTGTTTGCGGAGATAAAACATCAACGTTGCAGAGTAAGCAGACTCAGTGATTGAGTCGTGTTGCTGTTAGCCAATCAGAGAAGAGGTGTCCACATATCAGGAAGTACAGTAAGACTCCAGATCCAGCTCCCTGTTGCTCAGCTGTGCTTTAGTTCAGAGAAATGGTGCACCATCATGGCTCTAGCCGGTGTTGCCAAAGTGTGGCCCAGGGTCCATTCTTGGCGTTCAAATTCAAATTGTGTGGCTCCACATTGTATTTAAGTGGTGGGATTTGTTTCTTTTCAGCAGACTGTTGATTTTTTTTAACATTTATACGTCTGAGGCGTATTTTGAGCAATTATAAATATAAAAAAATCGTCATAAAGTTATTTTGCATTAAGAAGTTATAACTTGGTGACTTTTGCATTCATCTTAAAAAGTTTGTACATGGCTGCTCTAATCCCAGTCAGCAACTATTCAGATTATGTTGGATTTCATATAAAACATTTATTATATTAATGAAACATCTAGAAGCGAGCAGATCTGGTTAAATGTCTCTGAACTTCCGGTTGGTCTGAAGATGCGTCGGTGGTCTCCTCGTCCTCCTCACATGTTGGCTAATTTCCTAATGAATCACCGCCTGCTGCCGCTGAGAGAAACAGAGAAACGTCAGAGTTTATGCACCAAAAAGCTCCGAAACCCAAATGTAAGCAGAGTCCAGCTGCGCGCACTTGTAAAGTTGTTATAATCCTGCTCTGACCCATAAACAGGAAAATACATAATATAAAGCATCTTGCGCACATCTACAAATAACGCAGACTGTTGTCCTTGTAAGGAAACGCAGCTTCTCGGGACAAATAAATCAAACTCTTCTCCAACAGCCGTTCATTTTGGATGTTTTCATTCATTAAACTCGCGTTTCAACAGATTTTTCCTGTATTTTCCAGTGATGTTAACCATGGATGAAGGGTTAGGGTTAGTCTGTTTGTCCGCAGACGCGTCTGGCTCTCCTGTTTGCGCGTCCGAGGCTCCAGCCGCACGAGTGAGAAAACGGAATTGGAGTTATTTTGTGTGTTTTGGTTTGAGTGAAGCCGCAGCAGTGTTTGCTTGTTCTCTCTGTGTGAGCATCTCGCAGCTCTGGGTGGACGGGATATTTCAAACAGCACATCAGCGCGTTTATGTATTGGGTGCCCGGAAATTTTTTCCAAATAAACACAGCTTGATTCGACCTGGGTGGGCAGACTTATCAAGAGGCTAATTCTGTAAACAGATGAGGGAATTCCGCGGGTCCTGATTGGCTGCCGGTGGGGGGTGAGGGACTTTCAGCGCAATGAAATTTTAATTGATGTGGGTGGGCTGAGAACTCCGCCGACTGTTTATGATGGACGATTTATTTCCCAGCGCAAAGTCAACAGAACACAGCAAACCTACAACAATTATTAACCTTTTTCTGGGGGCTCATGAATCTGGGGACTCACTCAGAGAAGGAGAGGCGCTCCGGGAGGAAGCTTCTCTCACCGGGTCTCACCGCGTCATGGCTCTGTTCCACAGCCGGCTCGGAGCGCCGCCGCCGGCCCTGGGCCTCTCCGGGCCCCCACTGATCTATGTGTACGGCGCGGACAGCAGAGGCGTCGTGCCCACCGCGCTGAGCTTCGTGCCGGGCCGCCAGGAGCCCCCGCAGAAGCCGCCCTACAGCTACATCGCGCTCATCGCCATGGCCATCAAGAGCGCACCGGCGCAGCGCGCAACGCTCAGCGGCATTTACCAGTTCATCATGGACCGGTTCCCGTTTTATCATGACAACAAGCAGGGCTGGCAGAACTCCATCCGCCACAACCTGTCACTCAACGACTGCTTCATCAAGGTGCCCAGAGAGAAGGGCCGGCCGGGCAAAGGCAGCTACTGGACCCTGGACACCAGGTGTCTGGATATGTTTGAAAACGGAAACTACCGCCGGAGAAAGAGGAAGGCCAAGAACCAGCAGGGGATTCTGGACTCTAAAGACCCCGGATACAAGCGCATCAGGGTCCCGGGGCCACCCAGAGAACACCAGAACTCCCACGGACATCCGGGTGACAGAAGGACAACGCAGGCACCCGGAGATGGTGAGGAGGTGAAAAACACGGAACCAGAAACTAAAACGGGTCTTTTTGAGGTGAACCACGTGGTGCAGCATCAGAATCCTCTCCTACACAAGCATAAAGCCCTCCAGAACCAAGACCCCATTCCCTCCGGGGAGAGGAGACCGGACGGCCCGCAGACAGAGACCCGTTCCGCTCAGCTGTGGATGGATGGCGCGCATCTCCACCAGGAACCGGTGTTCAGAGAGAGGGATCCGCTGTGCGCAGTCAGCTATGCTGGATACACGAACCGGTTCCCGAAAGGATCCGTTCAGAGAAGAGACAGATCCAAAGGTTTTACGATCGAGAGCATCTTATCAAAGAGCGAAGAGGAAACGCGCAGCCGCACCGGAGATGCGCCAGTGGAGAGTTCGTTTCTCAGCCCGTCTGGGCTCTTCACTGCTCCACAGAACCACTGGTACCGGATAGGACTCCCCTTCTGCTCTTACCTGTCACTCACATGCCCGGATGACACGCTGCGCTTTAAATGAGCCCCGCGAAGAATCTTTGGCGTTTTTACGCACAGATGCGTAAAAATGAGCAGATTTAATAATGAGCTGACTCAGGTCTTTTATTAGTCCTGTGTCATCATCACCCCTTCTTTGTTCAGACCAGAACCCAAAACCAAAAACGGAAGCCTCACTGTCATCTTTACGCATGCGTAATTGTGATTCGCTCTTTAATTCGTTTTTGTCTCTGAAGTTTAGGGACAGTTACGCACTGCTTCTCATCACGTCATGGTCGATTGAAATATTCAGAGCAAATATTCTCTGTGTGAAGGACTCGCGACATGGTTGGGGCACGGAGCTGCCACTCAGTAAAAAGAGATGTTTGCAGGAAACAAAGTGTTTCTTCTATAAAGGACCAAATATTCTGTTCACGAGTCAATCCCAGAATCATCTGAGTGATGAAGGATGAAGGATCAGAGGAGGTCCATCTTTTCTTCTCTGGAAAATAAAACAAACAATAAACTGAGTCTAAAAGATGCGCGGAGCCTCGATCTGCAGCTGGAGTTCAGGAGGATTGGACTTCAGTGTTCTTCTTTTTTATGGACTTTAATATCAAATGTTTTTTCTTCTTCAACTGAGATGTTTGAAGTTTTCACACAAAATTATCTTCATTTGGAAAAAATAAATCATGATAATAAAGTTAATCACAAAAACTTTTTCTATTGAATAATGTGCAGATGTTTAAAGTTAAATTTGTTTTAACACAAAAACTTCAAACCGAATCTAAATCTGAGCTGTTTTGGTTTTCATTTAATCTTTTTTCATTTCAAATTCCTCTTCATGGAAAACCAAATAAAAACAAATAAATCCCGAAAGTCTTGGTTTGTGATGAGACAGAAATACTCTGAGAACTCACACACACACACACACACACACACACACACACACACACGCACGCACGCACGCACACACACACACACACACACACACACACACACACACACACACACACACACACACACACACAGAGATAGATGAGATTTATTAGACATGACCTGCTTATTTAATCTCTATAATCTATCATTTAGATTCATTTGAAAATATTTAGTTGGTTATTTTTTGTTTTTAATTATTGACGTCAAGTTAAAAAAGCCTGTTTTTATTTTTAACATTGAACTACTAAAAATCAAAATCAGTTCTTGTTTTTGTGTCTTTGAGGGTATTTTAGTCAGAAATAGGGAAGAAAACTTTGCTGTCTGGAGGATAAACGTTTAAAAAGTGACAATTTTCTATCCCGTTTTTATCAAAATGGAGACTTAGTGTTTTTATGCATTATTTTACAATCCACACCGAGATCAGCACAACTTCACACCTGGTATTATGTGTTGAACCAAACCTAAACACAGAAACAGATTTCCCACCTAAACGCTTCCACAGTAATGACAGCAGCTTTCCATGTCCCCAACTTACTCAGAATATACATCAGCACATCTGGAATGAACCGGTGACATCATGTCAGCAGAGACTGATCCCGCAGCTGTCGGCATGGTGGTGGTGGGCTGATGGTTTGGGCTGGTTGTGCAAATGTTTCAATTCAGTTTTTGTTCCTGTTTTCTGTCTGAAGCATGTCTGGACTTAACAGCAACAAACTAAAAACACAGTCAATCTGATTCCATGTGTGAAAAGTTTCCTGCAGGACAAAATTAACAGTCACAGATTAAATTAGGCCACCCTGAAGTCTCCAGATTAAACTGGCTGAATTCACACCAGTGGGTCCTCTTTTGCAGAACAACACCTGCATGAAATCAGAGCGCCGTGCCGACAGCATCCACAAACAGAGAGCACTACAGACAGACTGCAGGGAAGCTGCACAAGGTCGATTTGCAAATCAGGAATGTTTGTTTGAAATAAACAAACGTCCCTACATTTGAGCTGAGGAACTCACAATCACAAGCATTTCCTGTGTATGTGATTCTTCTGGGCTGACGTGTAAATAAAACATGATGAAAACCTCAGAGAGGAAACTGGGATCAGCTGAACGGGATTCAGCGCTCCGTCTCTGGAAAACAGGGACCTGGCGTCTGAGACAAAGGGGATTAATAAACGTCGGATATCTGACGGGAGTGTTTGGATGGTAACAGATCCTCCTGAGAAGCCGCTCAGACACAAAAGAAATCCTGTCCAGTCTCTTTGTTGTGAGAGAAAACAAACAAAAGCTGATGGAGTTCTGGAACAGACCGGCCCGCGACACGATTCTGCAGAATTTATCCATCTGAGACACATCTTTTGGTTCTGGAGGTGGTTTATCACGTTTGTCTGTTTGTTTTAAGTTTCTCCTGCTGTTATTCAGGCTAAAAACAGGCACGCTCTTACAAAGACGAATCACAAACTCAGAGTGAGACCCAGAGCCACAGAGATGAATCCAAATGTTTCCCAAATCAGAGGCCTCGTTCAGAAAGGGGCCCAAATCATCCTTTCACCTTTACAAACATAACAAAGATCTGTAAACTCAACTCAGTCGCCACCTCCTGTCTCTTTTCTGCAGATCATGATTCCTAATCCCCATTTTTATTATTAAACTGAAGAATCTTTCTTTTCCAAACCCTAATTCTGCTTCTTCAGGCTGACATCAAACCTGTCTTTGTTAAAGGTTGGTGTCAGCAAAGCAGCTTGGTGCTGCTCATCAGAGTCTGGATTATGGGTGGTGACAGAGTGTGGATTAGCTCAGAGCATCCAGTGTCCTCTCAGGATTATTCCGTGACACGAACACGGCCGAGACTCGGGAAAGTGCCATCATCTGTGTTTCATGTGCAATCAAGTCTCAGCTCAGTGCTCCGAGGTTTGGATCTCACTGCTTCGAATAGTCGTCTAATCCCAATGTTTGTTATATTTCTTCACTCTCTACATAAACCGCCTCCGCTTATCCAAATACACACTCAGCACCAGGGGAGGGGGCGGGGCTTTGATGAAGACGGATGGGTTTGGTTCTGGCTACAAAGCTGCTAATCACGCTGGGTTTACTGAGTTTTATACATCATGATGTCGTCAGAGTGAGGCTGAGGCCGTTTGCAACATGAGGCATGCTAGCCACATGCTAACGGCATGCTAGCCACATGCTAACAGGTTGGTTTTGACTCAACGTTGCAGCTCTGCAGGATTCTTTCTGGACCCATATGACCAGTTTTAAAGTCAGAACTCAATTTTATTTAATGGATTTAGTTAATTTACTTATTTCTTTCATTTGATTTAATAATTTGATCTCATTAAATGTATTCATCGATTGGAATTGTTTTTTTAAATTTAGTTTTTGTTTTAATGAAACCGATTTTATCTTTTAATAATAATTTTTTTCTTTTAATTTTGTTTTGTTTTTAGAATATTCTTTTAAAAAATAATTCAGTTTAACATTTAATTTAATTCCAGGAAATCCTGGTCAGTGATTTTAGGCCTTTAAAGTGTTTTAAAGTCCTATTGCCACATATTGTTGGACGAAATCAAAATCTACCAAAGCTGCTCGAGTCTCGGGAGGTTTTCAAGCTCTGAACCAAAATTCTTATTCACAACCTAAAGAACCGGAGTCTTCCCAGGATTTCACGTTTTATTGCTTGTTCTTTAGAGACTGCCACATTCTTCAGAGGCTCTTCTTCCTGTAGGTTCAGCTCCAAACATGGATTGATTCCTACGTTTGACACACAGAAACAAATGTTTGCATGTTGCTGTTAAAACTGGAATTCTGAAGAGAAACATCCTGCAGACGATGGCCTTCCTGAGCTTTGTGAATGGGACGAGAAAACTGTTCAACATTCTGCAGCTTTGCTTTCTCCAACCATAAACAAACACTCGTTGTCCCACGAGGGTGTGCGTGCGTGTGTGTGTTTGTGTGTGAGACTACCACCCTGAGACCAGGACCACCCTGAGTCCAGTACTTAATCCAGCCGGAAGTGGTTCCACTCACAGCTGGAACGTGGAACTGGTTTGGGACACTTCATCTGAACCAAAACAAAGAGTCCCGCTCCACAGCTGGTCCTGCATGAACCCAAACGAACGTGGTATTTCCAGACTGTCTGTAAATGCATCAGAGTTGTGCTTGTGTGTGTCCGCGATGAAGAAACACACTGCTGATGAAGTTCTCCAGACTTTTTCAAGCTCTTTGGGCGGTGGTGGTAACATTTTCAGATGTTTGTTAGGACTCACCTTACCGGATCGGATGTCAGAACCACCTCGGCTGACTCCTGGTGATGATGAGGAGGAGCTGCACCTTCGCTGCCGTGCAGGAAGCTGCTTGGATCCAGGATGTTGTTCTTCCTGCATGATCCAGATCTCATGACCACAGATGAGGGCTGGAATGCAGACAAACTAGTAAATTAGAAGCTTTTCTTCTCTGCTGAGCTCCCCCTTCACCACAACAGACCAGATCATTTCGCCTCAATCCATCAGTCCATCTCTCCTCCATCGTTCCATTACTCAGGATCCAGACAAGATACCAGAACTCCTGACCTGCAGGCAGGAAGAATTCTCTTTATTCGTGTCCAGAACCAAGAATTCAGACTTGAAATTTGCTGTTTTCAATCAAAAACAGATTTGAGATTCAAAATGCACTTGAGTGGATTTATGAAAAACTCTTAAAAGGTTTAAAATTGAAGTTTAAAATGACATTTGAATGCATGAAGATGATCAAAATGATTCTAATTCATGCATGAAGTTCATAATTCTCTTGAGTCTGTTTTTCATCACGAGACATTTGTAGAAGCTGCTGCTGACTCAGCTTTAGCCTTGATTCTGATGGCATTTGGTGTGGAGGACTCTTCCTGTTGGAGTAGACAATAAACAAACAAATAAACAAATGTGGGAAGAAGTTAGAAAATGAGGAATATCTGAGGGGAAAATGGACTAAAATGTGTGGAAATCAATCAATAAATAAAGGTCTGTTCTAATTCCTTTTTTTTCTTTCTTCTGCAGACAGGAAGAGTCCTCCACGGATGTTGTTTTCTCCACCTGAACCACCGGATGTCAGTAAACATTTAACTTTGTTTCTTTAAAATCAGACTTCCTTTCAGCTTTGTTCTTATTTTCACCATTTTGTGCCTTTAACCCTTTGATGCATAATGGTCACTACAGTGGACAGGTACTTAAAATTGTTATTTATTTGTTTTTGCTATTAAGCACAGCTGTTGAAGACTTTATTGCATTTGAGCCCCTCCGTTTGGACTTCGGTAAGCCAAGCCGACATATTTCATGCTCAGAATGCACGCTGTCCACTGAGGTGGACATGTAATAAATTATTTGTAAATTATAAAATTTTACAAAAAATATTTGTTGAAATTTGTTTCATTCACACCTAAAGATGAATCAAAAAATTGTTAAAAAATCATGGTTGAAGATTTCATAATTCATGCATCAGAGGGTTAAGTTTTTTTTTATCATCGTGCAGTTTATTTTCTAGTTTTTTGAACATTAACACGTCTTTTGTACATTCTTGCCGTGTTGTCTTCTAATTCCATTTTTGGTTCTTTTTTAAACACAGAGAAGATTTTTCTTTACCTTGCTGACGGTTTCGTTTGGCAGCAGAGCCCTCTGCTGCCCGCGGATAGACGGAGTAGGAATGCTAAATGGTAAATGGCCTGTATTTGATATAGCGCCTTCTAGAGTCCTGGAACCCCCCAAGGCGCTTTACAACACAATCAGTCATTCACCCATTCACACACCCATTCACACACTGGAGCGTCAGCTCTGAAGATGTTTGCAGCCGCAAACGAAACCGTCAGCAAGGTAAAGAAAAACCTTATCTGTGTTTAAAAAAAGAACCAAAAATGAAATTAACAAGTCGACCTGTTCCCTGGATTAATTCAAGGCCGGATGAAGATGTTTGGG